TTTTTTTATTATATTTAATTATAAGATATCTATATTTATTAATCCAAATAAAGTAACCAATTAATATATATATATATATATATATATATATATATATATATATATATATATATATATATATATATATATATATATATATATATATATATATGGTAGTTTTTTATTGCATTTTATTATTTTCTTTTTTGATATGTATTTAAATTCAAAAATAAGTAACCAATAACTAATTATAAACTAAATAATTAATTAGTAACCAATTATGCCATGTGGTATTTTTTTAGGCTGCTACTTGGCTTAAGGAGAGGGCTTTTTCCTCTCCTTTTAATAATATGTAGATAGATATAGATATAAAGCTAGAAACTGTTAAATAAAACTGAAACTCGCGATCTACCAGTTCGAAATGAAGATATTTCACCAACTGAACTAGAGATGGCAAAATCAACTCATTTTTTTGCAACTAGTCCAACCAACTCAAAATTTGATATTGGAATTACAAAATAATGTAAATCAGTGGGTCAAAATGCAACCCAAACTCAAGTATCCAAAAATGAGATGGGGAGTTATGTAAGTTTGGAAGAAGTTAAGCTACTAATTTAAGAAAAATTACATATGAGTAGCTTTTACATCTTTTTAATAAAACGCTAATTCAAAAAAAAGGAGGGGAGCTTAAAACGTCTGAATCTGAATACACATCTGAATATCAATATGTGTATTAAGATTAAGACATCTGAATCTGAATACACATCTGAATATCAAGATGTGTATTAAGATCTAAATACTGAATGATTAGGACTGTTTGATTTTTAACATCTGAATGTATAAAATTTATCTTTATTTGAAAATTAATAAACATAAAATTAAAATGAAATACTAATTAATCTATATTCTATTTATAAAATATATATTTTTTAAAATATGATAGTTGTTGCTGGTGATGGCTAACAAGTGAATGCCGACTAGAGGCGGTGGTTGGTCGTAGTTTCGGTTGATGGTGGTGGTTCAACATAGTAGCTAGTGGAGACGATTATGATTGAGGATGATGGTGGTGGGTGGTGATAGTTAATAATGTCGGGTGGTGCTGGTAGTTGTGATTGAGAAAGGTGGTGGTGGGTGGTGGTAAGTTTCAATGATAGGCAGTGCCGGCTGTGGTTGTTGATGGTGATGGGATGGTTAGTTGTGGTAGTTGAGGTGGATGAGTATTGATTGTGGTTGAGAATGGTGGTGGTGGGAGGGATGGGATGGTGAGTGGTGATAGTCAATAATGGTGGAGGCTATGATTGAGGATGATGGTGGTGGTGGTGGTTTAGTATGGTGGTGGTGACGGCATGGTAGTAGTTGATAATGGTAGGCGGTGGCGGCAATTGATAATGAATATGTATGATAGCATCTTAATGAAATTAAGTCTCTGTTCTAGATCTTAATCATACAGACCTATTCAGACCCATTAAGTGGTTGTGAAGTTAAAAAAAAAACACTTAAGATCTGAATAAATAAGATTCAGACTTTAAAAACAAATGCACTTAATGTCTGAGATTTGAATGATTAAGATTCAGACCTCCATTACGTGCAATCAAATGAGGCCTTAGTGATGTGGGACGACATAAAGTTTAGTTTATGACTTGTAATTTGATCTATTTTGAAACATGTTACCTACTCATTTTGACTCAAGCAAACGTTAAGCGAGTCATATTGTATACGGCCAAAATTGGAGAACCTGATTTCAAGAACTTAACGGTACCCCGGGCTCGAGCTCGGGCGGCACGAAGTAAAGACCAGATCTGACTAGAAAATGCCTACCTCGAGGGAGCAAATCGGAGACCCGCCATGATCTACCTCGGGAGCAGTATAATTTCGATGACACTCAAGAAAGAGCGGGAAGTTCTCAAGGACATGTGGATCAGGGCGTAAATTATAGGATAAGATTTGTACGAAATAGTACGAGTCCGTAATAGGTTGTTATACAGCTGTACCAATAGAATTTCTTACCATAATTGGGAATGTACCATATTAGGGTTTTCCCCTCCTATATAAAGAGGACCCCAATCATTTGTAAAGATCATCTCATTCACTGCAATAGAATATTCTACTCTACTTTTCTCGTTTACTGTGCTCCACAATTGTTCTTCAGCTTTATTGTCTTGACTTTATTGTTCATACTTTATTTGCTCTTAACTCACCACAAGGCCCAAAAGATAATCGAGCTCGAGGTCCTGTTGCTCTAACAACACTGGTTTGGTTCATCAATTCTTCTTACTTTAACTTAATATAACTTGTATATTCACTAGTATTAGAATAAATCACATATCTTTAAAACCACAAATCATCTTTAATTGTTACTCACGTTTTTCGAGGTAAACAGTTTGGCGCCCATCGTGGGGCTAAAGATAATAGTTGCAAAGTCAGCAAAAGACTCCGAGCGTGGCTGGGCCAGAAACCACTCATCGTGTTGAGCCAACCCCGGAAAGATCAAGCAATGACGGCTCAGGAACTAACCCCACCTTCATGAAAATGCTCGAGGAACTCACGAAGAGGATCGAGTCAGGAAAAAAAAGGATTGAGGACAACGACAAAAAGGTGGAAACATACAACTCGAGGGTCGACCAAATACCGGGAGCACCTCCGATTTTGAAAGGACTAGATTCAAAGAAGTTCGTGGAAAAACCATTCCCCCAAAGTGCGGCTCCGAAGCCCATCCCGAAGAAGTTTTGGATGCCAGACATCCCAAAATACAACGGGACTACTGATCCAAACGAGCACATCACTATGTATACTTGTGGCATCAAAGGAAATGATTTGGAAGACGATGAGATTGAGTCCGTTTTGCTAAAAAAGTTTGGGGAAACTCTGTCTAAGGGTACCATGATTTGGTACCATAACTTACCCCCGAACTCTATTGATTCGTTTGCCATGTTGGCAAACTCATTTGTAAAGGCACATGCTGGTGCCATAAAAATCGCAACGAGGAAGCCCGATGTATTCAAAATAAAGCAAAGGGAGAATGAAATGCTGAGGGAATTTGTTTCTCGCTTCTAGTTAGAGCGGATGGAGTTACCGCCGGTCTCCGATGACTGGGCCATACAAGCTTTCACTCAGGGACTAAATGAACGAAGTTCGATGGCTTCGAAGCATCTGAAGCAGAACTTGATCGAGTATCCCGCCGTGACTTGGGCGGATGTGCATTACAGGTACCAATAAAAAATTAGGGTCGAGGATGACCAGTTGGGAGCCCCCTCGGGCTTAGTTTACTCAAGCAGGTTACTAGCAAAGGGGTCAGGAAATGCAGACAAGGGGTCAAGGCCGAATAAGGAAAGATATCAGCCTTACGTCGAGGATCGAAGGAACATCTCAAGGCGTAATATACCTCAGAACGATCGAAGAGAAGATCGAGGTCAAAGTTTCCGGGGACTCATGAGCAAAATCGGGTTTGATAGGCACTTGAGACCGGCAGAAGCACCCTGACTACCGAAGTACAACTTCAACATCGATGCCTCGGGTATCGTCTCAGCCATTGGCAAAATTAGAGATACTAGATGGC